TTATAGCTGCTTATGTCAGTACTGCACATTTCTTGTAAAATGTATTCTTTTCCACTTTGTTTTAAAAATTATTTTGTAAATGGAATTTTAAAAATTATTTTTCTGTCAGATTCATTCATTTTATTTTCTGTGTTGTGTGGCTTACTTATTTTTGTACTTGTTCCCTGAAACATTTTTATAGCTTTATAACCCTCTTAACAACAGCAAATACCAATTTCTTGATTGTTCAATGGCACCCATTCTGATACAATTTCTTGTGAATTGGGTGAAGAAGCCATTTCTCTGGAAAACAGCAAGAAGCATCTTTTTTTCCTTCTCTTTTTTTTTTTTTTTTTTTTGGAAATGGAGTTTCTGTCTTGTTGCCCAGGCTGGAGTGCAATGGCGTGATCTTGGCTCACCACGATTGCCTCCCGGGTTCAAGTGATTCTCCTGCCTCAACCTACCAAGTAGCTGGGATTACAGTGTGCGCCACCACATCTGCTAATTTTTAATACAGACAGGGTTTTTCCATGTTGGTCAGGCTGGTCTTGAACTCCCAATCTCAGGTGATCCACTTGCCTGGGTCTCCCAAAGAGTTAGGATTACAGGCATGAGCCACCGTGCCCGGCCCAAGAAGTATCTCCAATATGAGTATTGGGTACATTTGGGCCTGCATACTATCTAAGCTAACTGCAGGACTTCACCATCTCCATGTGTTCATTCCTGGCTCCTGCCTGCATCCCAGCTCCCCACCTTTCTCCCTCTGTAGGACATTTATTCTTGGAATTGACAGGCATATAAATCTCAAACTGATGATCAAGTTTAAAACAAAATTCCTGGCCGAGTGTGGTGGTACGTGCCTGTAATCCCGTTTCTTTGGGAGGCTGAGGTAGGTAGGCTGCTTGAGGCCAGGAGTTCAAAACCAGCCTGGGCAACATGGCAAGACCCCACCCCCATCTAAGAAAAAGGAAAATAAAACGGAACTCCTCATTTTCCTCCTCCAACCAACTTTGTTTTCCCTTTCCAGTCTTTTTTTTACTGTGGCAAAATACACATAACCAAAAAATTACTGTATTTAGCCTTTTTTAAAATTTTTGGGACAGGATCTTGCTCTGTCACCCAGACTGCAGTGCAGTGGTATGATCCTGGCTCACTGCAAGCCTCAACCTCCTGAGCTCAAGTGATCCTTCCTCCTCAGCTTCCTGAGTAGCGAGAACTACAGGTGTGTGCCACCATGCCTGGCTAATTTTGTACAATTTTTTTGTAGAGACAGGGTTTTGACATGCTTCCCAGGCTGGCCTTGAACTCCTGGGCTCAGGCAATCCTCCCACCTCAGCCTCCAGAATAGCTGGAACTGCAGGCGTGTACCACCATGCCTGGCCCAGTTTTTCATTTTTATTTTCCTGTTTTTTTTTAAAGATAGGGTCTTATTCTGTCATCCAAGCTGGAGTGCAGTGGTGTGACGTTGGCCCACTGCAGTCTCAACCTGCTGGGCTCAAGCGATCACCCTGCCTCTGCCTCCTGAGTGGCTGGGACTGTAGGTGCACACCACCACGCTCAGCTAATTTTAAAAAAATTTTTCTTATTTTGTAATGACAGAATCTCACTGTGTGGCCTAGGCTGGTCTCAGATTTCTGGCCCCAAGTGATCCTTCCACCTTGGCCTCCCAAATTGCTGGGATTACAGGTATGAGCCGCCGTGCCTGGCCTTAATTTTCTTATTTTTTTGTAGAGATGAGGTCCTGCTATGTTGCTCAGACTGGTCTCAAATTCCTAGCCTCTCTGCCTCCCATCTCTGCCTCCCAAAGTACGGGGATAGTAGGCGTGAGCCACCGCACCAGACTGCTTAGTGCAGATTTTGATAGCGGAAGGAAGACAGGATCCAGGGATACTGGACATCTGGCAGAATGAGATGGCATCACCACCAAGGCAGGCAATGAATGCATAGCAGGGACACCAGGAGGTACAGAGAAAAGCTGCCAGTGTTACAACCTTGCTGGGCTGGCAGGGCCATGGGAAAGGCTCTTCTGCCCTCAGTTCATCCTCTGTGTCTGAGATGGATCCAGAGAGAGAGAGAGAGAGAGAGAGAGAGAGAGAGAGAGGGAGAGAGATAGAGGATGAACTAGTTGCTAGGCAACTATGATTAAAAGAAGGAAGCTATTACGGTTAGAGGGACGAGAACATAATCTTTAGGTAGCTGTAAAATTGTGATTGTCAATAGTGTAAACAAAATAATTGCAAAAAGAACAAGTCTTAGCAGAGATAATTAACTCAAAACCACACATAGCTGTAAGATTCTAAGATAGCTGAGTACAACTATTTTTGGCATGTGCTTTGTGAATTGGATTGCAGTAGTTCCAGCTCCAGGACTGAGGAGCACTGAGGTCAGAAATGAGCGCTCTCTCCTCTTTCCTCCTCCTCTTCCCTCCCTCCATGATCTCCCATCCCCCATCCCCCATCCCCCGTCCCCCGTCCTCCCTGTACATGCTCCAGCCTCCCTTTCCATTCCTGCCTCCTCTGTCTGGCCTCCTCCCTCCTCATCCTACTTCCTTTGCTTTTCCTCTCCTACCTCACCTCTCCCTCCACCTTCTCCATCCCCCATCTTCAACTCCCCTCCTCCCTCCTTCTGTCCCCACTTTCGCCCCCTCCCTGCTTTTCTTCCCAAGCCTTTGGCTTGTGGCCTCCATCTGTCATGCCCATTAAGTGATATCCTCCACAGTCATCTTATTGTTTTTTTGAGACAGAGTCTTGCCCCTGTCACCCAGGCTGGAGTACAGTGGCGTGATGTCTGTTCACTGCAACGCCCACCTCTCAGGTTCAAGCGATTCTGCTACCTCAGCCTCCCAAGCAGCTGGGATTACAGGTGTGTGCCACCACACCTGGCTAAATGTTTTGTATTTTTAGTAGAGAAGGAGTTTCGCCATGTTGGCCAGACTGGTCTCGAACCCCTGACCTCAGGTGATCCACCTGCCTCAGCCTCCCAAAATGCTGGGATTCCAGGCATGAGCCATGGAGCCTGGTCATCCATAGTCATCTTTTGAGCAAGGCCCAGAGCTACAGGCAGTGGACCCTGCCTTCAGTCTGGTTACAGTCTTACAATCTGGGTAATGAAGTGAATATCACATATGAGGGAATCAATAACAGAACAGAGCCCAGACGCTTAGAACCAGGTGAGTGGTACAGAGGGATGTGTGTTTGTGGGTGTGTGTGTGATCAGAGCAGAAGGGACTGAGCCATGGCAGTTTGAGCCACTTCAGGGGATAAATGGAACATAAATTGAGCATTCAAAGGAGGGAGAGCCTGCTGGGAGTGATGGCTCACACCTGTGATTCCAGCATTTTGGGAGGCCAAGGCGGGTGGATCAGCTGAAGTTGGGAGTTCAAGACCAGCCTGGGCAACATGGTGAAACCCAGTCTTTCCTAAAATTTACAAAAATTAGCTAGGCGAGGTGGTGCATGCTTGTAATCCCAGCTGCTCTGGTGGCTGAAGCAGCAGAATCACTTGAACCTGAGAGGCGAAGGTTGCAGTGAGCCAAGATCTTGACATTGCATTCCAGCCTGGGTGACAGAGCAAGACGCTGTCTCAAAAAAAAAAAAAAAAAATAATAAATAAAAGGCACTGCAGGCCTGAGGAGATGTGAGCTGAGACCAGAGGCAGGAATGTGTGGTTGGTGGGTCTTGGTCAGATTGGGAAGAGCAGTGGAAGAATGGGGTGGGTTGCGGGGATGGTTAATGAGTACCCCCTCAAAATAGGATAATACTAGTCGATAGTAAAACAGTGACTATAGTTAATAATAATTGTACACTTTAATAACTTAGAGTATAATTGGATTGTTTGTAGCTCAAAGGATAAATGCTTGAGGGGATGGATACCCATTTTCCATGATGTCCTTATTTAATGAGATGTATCAAAACCTCTCTTGTGCCCCATAAATAGACATACCTCCTATGTGCCCCACAAAAAGGAAAAATTAACCATTGGAGCAAGAGGCCTCTAATTACCCTTTAAACTCTGCCTTTCTGTGACAACAAAATCCAGGACATCCAGGACCACCCTCCCGGTGTCTCTAGAAAGAGCCTATAATTCCAGGTCTATTTCTGAGAAAAGAGCTGTTGGTTTTCAACGGCATGCCCTCGTCTGAAGCATTCTTAGCTTTACATAAAAATCCGTTACTGCACCATCATGTAACTCATCCTTAATTGTTTTTATCCAAAGGTATTGAATAAGTACTATGGACAAGAACTTTCACTAACTATACCCCTTAGAGACAGAAATTAGGCATTCTCTTCTCTTTCAACTTTCTGTCATTGTTTTCCTAACAAGACTCATTCTCTTTTTTTTGGAGATGGAGTTTCGTTCTTGTTGCCCAGGCTGGAGTGCAATGGCGCGATCTCAGCTTACTGCAACCTCTGTCTTCCAGGTTCAAGTGATTTTCCTGCATCAGTCTCTTGAGTAGCTGGGATTACAGGCATGCACCACCACACCTGACTAATTTTGTACTTTTAGTAGAGACGGAATTTCTCCATGTTGGTCAGGCTAGTCTCAAACTCCCAACCTCAGGTGATCCGCCTGCCTCAGCTTCCCAAAGTGCTGGGATTACAGATGTGAGCCACCGTGCCTGGCTCATACTCTTTTTTTAATACAAGAGTTTTCATTTGAATGCTAATTTTAGATGAATCTCCAATCAGTTTCACAGTTACTTTCATGTTTCCTCCTACCCTCCCCACCTCTGCGCCAGTGCTGGCAAGCAGAGGAAGAGCAAAAGGTTAGCATCTCAAGTTTAGTGAGTTTGGATACTTGTCAATGATAAGAAAAAGCCAAAAGACAGATTGACTGTGACAAATGTGTTAAAAACAATGATCTCTGGGTTTGTGTCAGCTGTACTCATAGGAGCTCACTGGGTATCCCACACCACCATGCTCCAGTATGATTCTCATCTTCTATGATCTAAAACAGTGGAAACACCTTTGTTCATCCTTAACCTGCTGAGCATATTCTGTCTCCCTCTTTTCATTACCCCAGGAAAAAAGAGGAAGGTTTGCAGACCTATTGGATGCTAAATATTTACGGACCACATTACAGATCTGGGTCATATGGTAAGAGTGTAATGATTTCAAAACTAGTTTTAAATAGAGGCGTTGGGAGGAAGTCTATTTAAGTAAATCTATCTGAGTGCCACTGGGAAGAAAAACATGACCAACTCCAAATATCACATCCAGCAATGTCTTGTCTTTCTACAAACTCCACCACCATTAAATAAATCAGTAAATAGATACATAGGCAGATAGAGGAAAAATCTCTGTCTTCAACCAGTTTTTAAATTTTTCCTATAAGCATATGAGCTCACTTCCTAACTTTTGCAGCCTGGTGGTTTTCCTCACCACAGGACAGAAACTGGTCCTTTGAAGTCACCAATCAAGTTCAATGGCATAGACTCTTATGGTACCCTCTGTGATTCATTTCTCTACAGCATGATTTTGAGTAAGCAAATTTTCTTTCCTTTTTTTTTTTTTTTTTTTTTTGAGACTGAGTTTTGCTCATATTGCCCAGGCTGGAGTGCAATGGCACGATCTCGGCTCACTGCAACCTCCGCCTCCTGGGTTCAAGCGATTCCACTGCCTCAGCCTCCTGAGTAGCTGGGACTACAGGCATGAGCCACCACACCCAGCTAATTTTGTATTTTTTAGTAGAGACGGGGTTTCTCCATGTTGGTCAGGCTGGTCTCAAACTTCTGACCTCAGGTGATCCGCCCACCTCAGCCTCCCAAAGTGCTGGGATTAGAGGCATGAGCCACTGCGCCTGGCCTGCAAGGATCTTCTATATAGGACTAAAACATGCTGACTATAACAGAAAAGATAGATGAGTTTTGATACTTTAAATTAGGAACTTAGGAACTGTGTCATAAGATATCATCAAGAAGACTGGGTGTGATGGCTCATGCCTGTAATCCCATCATTTTGGGAGGCCGAGGTGGGAAGGTCACCTGAGGTCAGGAGTTTGAGACCAGCCTGGCCAACATGGCAAACCCTGTCTCTACTAAAAATACAAAAAAATTACCCTGGCATGGTGGCGGGCGCCTGTAATCCCAGCTACTTGGGAGGCTGAGGCAGAAGAATTGCTTGAACCCAGGAGGTGGAAGTTGCAGTGAGCTGAGATTATGCCACTGTACTCCAGCCCTCAAGCCTGGGCAACAGAATGAGACTCTGCTTAAAAAAAAAAAAAAAGATATCCTGAAGAGCCTGAAAGGTAAGCTTACCCACTGGGAGGAAAAATTTGCAATGTATATTTCCAGCAAATCATATACATATACACACATATATGTACACACATAAATTATAATTTTTTCAACAAGAAAAAATAAACCCAGTTTATTTTTAAAAATTTTTTTAAGTTTTAAAAATTATTAAACTTTTAAAATGTATTTTATATTATTTTGCATTCATAGAGATGGGTCTTACTTTGTTGCCCAGACTGGTCTCAAACTCCTGGCTTCGAGCAGTCTTCCTGCCTTAGCTTCCCAAAGTGCTGGAATGACAGGCATGAACCACCATGTCCGGCCAACAGCCCAGTTTAGAAATAGGCAAGAGTCTTTAGCAGGCACTTCACCGAAAATGTATACTGGAGAAACACATCAAAACCTGCTCAACCTTAAAGTCCCCAGGGAAATACAAATTAAAACCCAACCAGATACCGCTACAAATCCACCAGTCCATGAGAATGGCTAAAGTGAAAGACTGATAATACCAAGGGTTGAGAAGGATGCAAAGTAACTGGAACTTTCATACATAACTGACTGGAGTTCAAATTAGTACAGTCACTGTGGAAAACTGGAGGTATCTATTACAGCTGGAAGTATGTATATATATGGCCCAGCAATTCTGCTCCTAGGTTTATACCCAACAGGCATGTGTACATCTGCATGATGTGTAAGAGGCACTTCCACGAATGTTCTATGTGGCAGCCTGGCTTCCTCCCTTTGCATTTCTACATTCTGCACCTTTCACTTGCCGTTCCCTCACCACTCATCCTTCAGGTCTGGTGTCAGTGTTTGCTAGTGACGTTCTTTTCTCACTTCCAGGCTTGGAATCTCCTTTGCCTACTACGGGGTTATCTTGGCCAGCGCTGAGCTGCTGGAGCGGGACCTGGTCTGTGGTTCGAAGTCAGACTCTGAGGTGGTCGTGACTCAGGGGAACTCAGAGGAGGGCCAGAGCCCCTGCCACTGCCACTTGTTTGCACCCTCCGACTATCAGACCATGATCATCAGCACTGTCGGTGAAATTGCTCGTAAGTGTCCCTCTGAATGTAGGGTGGCCTACGTTCACTTGAGTCTCAGCGGAGAGAAGTATGACCCTGTAACGTGGGTCCTGCCTAGCAGAACTGAACAAGTCGCCAAATGGTGCTGAAAAATCTCCAGTCTGGATTGGTGTTGGCAAGAGAAGTCTGGAGCTTTGAAGTGCTGTATTCTATCAATCCTAAGGTGTTTTCCCCTCCTCACATTTTAACATCTCTGAAATTGGAATGTGGCTTACAATGGCTTGCTGGATTGCAATTGACAGCATTATTTCTATTTTAGTAGACGTAAAATGATGGTACTTAAAAATCAATGGCTGAATGTTAAATTGAGCTGATGAAAAAAAATCAATGGCACCTTGAATTTGATGAAAACATATAAAATATTTAAAATGCCGGCCTAGCAAGCTGGCAATCTGCAATAGACCTGCACGATATAATAAGTATCCTGGGCACCAGCACTTAGCATTCCTGGACCCACGTGGGTAAAGTATATGAAATGAGTCTTGAAACTGACGATAACGTGACTGGATTTTGGCTGGAATACTCGTGAGGTTTGGATGAAGTTGCTTCTTTCTGAAATGTCAAGGATGAGTCCGTGCCAGTGTTGCAATATGCCACTTGCCTTCCAAGGTCCCAGAAATTGTCTTTACTGTTTGCTTTCTAGTGAATCCTTTAAATATCCTGGGCATCAATTTCCTGGGAAGACGGCTGAGCCTTTCCATTACCATGGGATGCACGGCTTTATTCTTCCTTCTCCTCAACATTTGCACATCAAGGTATTTACTATTTGGTTGCTTCAAGTTTTGTGCAGTGGTTTCTAAATAGAGTCTCCTGACCCATGGTGCTTGGTAGTTTCAGGGACAAGTCCCTTTCACCCAGGAAAGTAGAGAATGGGCTGCCTGTTTGGCTAGAATGGTCTTGCCTGGTCCCTGCTACTCCCCTTCCCTCTTCTTACGGACCCCATTTTCCTCCAGCTGTCAGGATTATGGGTGCCAATGATGTTGTGCTCACTTTACCCACCAAAATATTGAGGATCATTATGTAATGCTTCCTGGAGAATTGGGACTCTGGTTGTTTATCACATTATTTGAACCAATGCCAAGAAAGTTTTGTAATACAGACCACGTGCTTCCTTGTGCCTTCTGCTCATTTCACTATTAATTTGCAGTCTTGGACTGGCCTGAGCTCTGATATGTATCATTTATTCTACAAGTTGTCTGTAGTATTTTCCAGGGGATGGTAGCAGTGGATGTGCATTTTTCCCCCGCTTTAAGACAGGGTCTCTCTCTTTGTCACCAAGGTTGGAGTGCAGTGGTGTGGTCTCAACTCACTGCAGCCTCCAACTCCTGGGCTCAAGCCATCTTTCCGCCTCAGCCTCTTGAGTAGCAAGGACTACAGTCACACACCACCATGCTGGACCAATTAAAAAAAGTTTGGTGGCTCATACGAATAATCCCAGCACTTGGGGAGGCTGAGGTAGTTGGATCACTTGAGCTCAGGAGTTGGAGATCAGCTTGGACAACATGGCAAAACCTCAACTCTACAAAAAATACAAAAATTAACCAAGTGTGGTTGTGCTTGCCTGTAGTCCCAGCTACCCAGGAGGCTGAGGTGGGAGGATCACTTGAGCCTGGGAGGCCGAGGCTGCAGTGAGCTATGATTATGCCACTGCATCCCAGGCTGGATGACAGAGCCAGACTCTGTCTCAAAAAAAAAAAAAAAAAAAAAATGAGAGACAGAGACAGTTTTACTATGTCGCCTAGGCTGGTCTTGAACTCCTGGCCTTGAGCAGTCTGTCTGCCTTGGCTTCCCAAAGTGCAGGGATTACAGGTATGAGCCACCGTGCCCAGCAGGTGTGCCAATGTGAGGGGCCAGGGTGATTGGCAGCTGTGGGGAAATGGAGAGGGTGGTGGGGAGTAAGATTGGAAGGAGGTTTGCTTAAGGACTGCACAATCAGGCCAGCTAAGAAGCAGTACCCTACTCGGGTTCCGAGTTATCTGTGGGTGTGTCTTAGCATCCACAGTGCCGTTGGAGCTGGGCCGCGGGAGGTGGTTCTCCGTGCTGCCTTTTATAATTTCTCTCTGCTTCCTGTTTTCTAGTGCCGGCCTGATTGGCTTCCTCTTTGTGCTGAGGGCCCTGGTGGCTGCAAACTTCAACACCATCTACATTTACACAGCTGAGGTGAGTTTCCATGCAGGGCTAGCTTCCAGCAGGGTGTGTAAGGTGAGCCCCTTCGGGTGTCCATCCAAAGTTAATGCATCCCTGGTTTCTGTTGACTTTTGATGATTTTCTAAAGATAGTCTGCTAAAAAGATACCAGAAGTTTATTTGATGTGAATTTCCCCTTACCCATTCAGTCTATTGAAGGCCAGCCTCTGGAAGATAGCATCTTCTTCCTTTCTTTAAATAGCATGCATGTAAAAAACACCTCATTGCCCTCGCACTAACTAGGCTCAGAACACTAGGCTTAGAATAGGTAGCTGTCAAATGTCAAATTTCTTTTCTCTCTTTTTGAAATTAGAATACATTTTTTCACTGTTACTCTTTTGGAAGATCCCTTTCCCTCCATCTGTTATTTGCTGCATGTAGCTTAAACTTGAATATAATCTTGATTTATTCTTAGTTAATTTATTGAATTAGTACATCTTCACGCGAGGTACTGCTGAGGTGGCTGGAGTATTTCCTCATAAACCTCCCACTTTAAAGAACTAATATTCTTAGAAATGAAAGAGTATTTGAATAGGGAACTTAACAGTATTTTCACTAGTTTTGTCATTCATTGAGCTACAGGAAATAGTGCTTTAGATACTGATAAAGCTGCCTTCATGTTCATGGCAGGAAATGGGGAAGTCTATTGTGATGGAAGATGCAGGATGTCAGAAACCATTAAACCTGCAGAGAAAAGTACTTTTTCTCCCACACAGAGATAAAAATAGAAAACTGTGTGATATTTGAATTATACATAATACTTTATTTAGTTCCATTAACAAAATCTAAAGTCGACTTATAGACAGGTGCAAAAAATAAGTCCTCTTTTGCAATCCAGAACTCATTGTTCAGTATACGTTTTGCCACAAAGGATACCTGAGACACTTAAACGTGATTGGAGTATTGATAACCCTCAAGGGTGGTTCCAGGCTAGGCGCAGTGGCTCATGCCTGCAATCCCTAACCTTTGGGAGGCTGAGATGGGAGAATCACTGGAAGCCAGGAGTTCAAGACCAGCCTGGCCAAGAAAGCAAGACCCTATCTCCACAAAATTTAAAAATTGGCCAGAGGTAGGTGCATGCACCTATAGTTGTAGTTACTTAGGAAGGGGAGGCTGAGGCAGGAGGATTGCTTGAGCCCAGGAGTTGGAGGCTGCAGTGAGTTCTGATGGTGCTACTGCACTCCAGCCTGGGCAGCAAAGACCCTGTCTAAATTAAAAAAAAAAAACAAAAACAAAAACAAAAGCCCTGGCATCATGGCTCATGCCTGTAATCCGAGCACTTTGGGAGGCCGAGGCAGGCGGATCACAAAGTCAGGAGTTCAAGACTGTCCTGGCCAACATGGTGAAACCCCGTCTCTACTAAAATACAAAAAATTAGCTGTGTGTGATGGTGGGCACCTGGAATCCCAGCTACTTGGGAGACTGAGGCAGGAGAATTACTTGAACCCAGGAGTGTAGATCATACCGCTGCACTCCAGTCTGGTGACAGAGTGAGCAAAAAAAAAATTGATTTTAGGACTGTAGAATAGAGAGTTTAAAAGCATAAGGTATGAGGAAAATCTCATTTATATCAATTTTGTATTCCAGTTTGATGTTGACTTGATGTATCAGGATGACTTTGTTTTAAATAGCTTTTATCTTGAGCACATGATGTCTGGGGTTAAAGGTGTTGACATATTCCACAGGTCTGTACTGTTCTCGACTGTGATAGCTTAGGAATGAATGTGATTTGAACTCACTCATGTTTACAGAGGGCATCACATGGAGAATGAGGCCGCTCCACCTACTCCAAAAATGACCCTAAAGTAAATTGGTTGAAGAAGTTAGATCCCAAAGATTCTTGGTGAATTTTGAAGTCTTCATCACTATATCCATATTAAAAGGAGACGAAAGAAGCCAAAAGAAAAGAATTATGGGCCATGAGGACAACTGGATTAAACATCAGTTCTATTAAGAAGAGCTGACTTGAAGATAATTCATTTGATGATAAATTTTATTTCTGCTCTGTAGGGGAACTAAGGTGACCTTGATGAACCGTGGAAGGAATTACAACATGAAATTCCTTGAATAAAAATTAATTGGCTGGGTGTGGTGGCTCATGCCTGTAATCCCAGCACTTTGGAAAGCAGAGACAGGCAGATCACTTGAGGTCAGGAGTTTGAGACCAGCCTGGCCAACATGATGAAAACCCATCTCTGCTAAAAATACAAAAAGCTAGCCAGATGTGGTGGTGGGTGCCTGTAATCCCAGCTACTTCAGAAGCTGAGGCAAGAGAATCACTTGAATCTGGGAGGCAAAGGTTGCAGTGAGTTGAAATTGCACCACTGCAACCAGCCTGGTGACAGACAGACTGTCTCAAAAAAAAAAAAAATTGACTTTAAATAATTTGGTGTAGTTAAAAAAATTGCATAATAAAACAAATCTAAAGTTTAAAGATATTTTGTAATTTTATGAACCAAAAAGCCTATGTGTAACATGGTATATTTCTAGAATTGCATTTGGAAGGTACCCTCAAACATTTATTTTGGGAATTTGCTCGCTTTGAGGGTCATCTCTAAGTATTTTATTTTTTATATTTATTTCTTTTGTGTGTTTTTGAAATGGAGTCTTGCTCTGTCACCCTGGCTGGAATGCAGTGGCATGACCTTGGCTCACTGCAACCTCCACATCCCTGTTAAATTGATTCTCCTGCCTCAGCCTCCCAAGTAACTAGGACTACAGACATGTAGCACCACGCCCAGCTAATGTTAGTATGTTTAGCAGTGACGGCATTTGACCATGTTGGCCAGGATGGTCTCGATCTCCTGACCTCGTGATCGACCTGCCTTGGCCTCCCTTAGTGCTGGGATTACAGGCATGACCCACTGTGCCCGACCTATACTGATTTAAAAAAAAAAAAATCAGATGTGTAACTAAAAATGATAGTTTCCTGTTATTCTGTCTTCCAGATGACTCAGAATGTGAACAAAGGACTTTATCAGTATTATAGCAAAGAAACCATCACGTGAATTCATTATTTTCAGGCATAGCAACCTCATTTTTCAGAAAATAATAAAGCTTCCCATAAAGATATTCCATCCCCAGGCCTTCTCCTGTAAATATAGCTGTGTCCTGTGAGGCGGGAAAGCATCTTGCTTTTTGCATTTGACAGATGGTGGCAAAGATGTGGCCAACTAAAGGATGCTACATGCTTTGCCTTAGAGAGTTGATAAAACTGTTTTATCAGTATTTTATAGCACTAAAGAAAATGTTCCAACATTTTGAGAAACAGTTCTTTCCTAGAAAGTATTCTTCATATAATTCTATGTATTCAGTAATACTTGCTGACTTATTAAACTTCTTCTAGTTCCTTTAAGAATTCTGAATCAATGAAGAACCAATTAAGAATGAAGAATTGTTAGGTTTTACTATAAAAATAGAAAAGTTGCAGCAAGAAAGTGGAATAGGGCTGGGTGTGGTAGCTCATGCCTGTAACCCGAGCACTTTGGGAGGCTGAGGCAGGAAGATTGCTTGAGCTTGGAAGTTTGATATCAGCCTGGGCAACAAAGCGAGACCTCGTCTCTATAAAATAAAAATAAGAATTTATTAAAATGTTAAAAAGGGCTGGGTGCGGTGGCTTACACCTGTAATCCCAGCCCTTTGGGAGGCCAAGGAGGGTGGATTACCTGAGGTCAGGAGTTCAAGACCAAACTGGCCAACATGGTGAGACACTCCTCCCGCCACTAAAAATACAAAAATTAGCTGGGTGTGGTGGTGCGCACCTATCATCCCAGCTTCTTGGGAGGCTGAGGCAGGTGAATCGCTTGAACCCAGACGGTGGATGTTGCAGTGGGCCAAGATCGCACCATTGTTCTCCAGCCTGGGCGACAGAGTGAGACTCCATCTCTAAATAAATAAATACAAATGTTAAAAAGAAAGACAGTAGAATCTGCTATAAGATTCTGCAACAGCAAAGAGGCTAGGGAATTTAACAAAAACACAGGGGCCGGATGTGGTGGCTCATGCCTCTAATCCCAGCACTTTGGGTGGTTGAGGTAGGAGGTTTGTTTGAGGCCAGACACTCAAGACCAGCCTAGCCAACATAGCAGGACCCCATCTCTAATTAAAAAAAAGAAAAAGAAAAGAAATAAAAATAAGAACACAGGGAATGGTGTGGCAAGTACCTAGCCTTCTAGTCAACTCTCTTAGCTGTATTTGAAGACTTAATTAGATCTCTGGGGAGTGCTTTCTTTCCATTCAGGCGAATCACTTTTATATATTTATAGTTCTGAAGTCTTTCTAAAATTATATTTGGAATATTCAGTGAAACACATTTTTGGAATTTGCTCATTTTTATTTTTATTTTACTTTATTTTTTGAGACTAAGTTTCACTCGTGCTGCCCAGACTGGAGTGCAATGATCTCAGCTCACTGCAACCTCCACCTCCCAGGTTCAAGCGATTCTCCTGCTTCAGCCTCCCGAGTGGCTGGGATTACAGGCATGCACGCCTGTGCCTGGCTAATTTTGTATGTTTAGTAGAGATGGGTTTCTTTCATGTTGGTCAGGCTGGTCTCAAACTACTGACCTCAGATGATCTGCGGCCTTGGCCTCCCAAAGTGCTGGGATTACAGGTGTGAGCCACCTCCCCAGCCTTGGAATTTGCTCATTTAAAGGATAATTTTGAAGTGTTTATTTTTTGCTGATATTATCCCAAAAATTTAAAGTTGTATGCCTGAGAAAGTGAACACCTTCTGTTTTATGTTCTGTAACTGTGTTTGGCATTCTGTGTATTCCAAAGCCTGATGTGGGGAGGGAGGGGAAGAGGAGGGCTCGGGGAAGGACAGACAGACAGATGTAAACTGACTGGCGCCTTCTATGCCTCTCCCTGCAGGTCTACCCCACCACGATGCGAGCTTTGGGGATGGGAACCAGCGGCTCCCTGTGTCGCATTGGTGCAATGGTGGCGCCATTTATATCCCAGGTACGGCCAAGGACTCTGTAGGGAGAGTGAGTCTGAGAGAGGTGGGGAAAGAGGAACCCCAGGGCCCTTCAGATGAAAGGTGTAACCAAGAATTTCTATTGACTTCGTGAGTTTTCCGGAGGTGCTGTTTCCCCGCTGTCTGGTGGATTTCGGTAGAGAGAGAAGCCACGTGACTGCTACCAGTCTTCCAGGCTTCCGTCAGTAGTATGCATTGCATTGCATTCAGGGTTTGCTCGGTTTTAAACTGGGTATTACTGGGGGAAGATGGAAAACAATGGACAACACGAGAAACCTGGGCAGCTGAATGACAGTGGCTCAAACCCTGAGTTAGAATTATTGTCTGGTCCATTGTCCAGGTGGCAACTGAAAAACAGAGCCCGAGCGTGCGGGCAGGTTCAACTGAGGTGCGAGGAGGTGGCGCTGGGCACAGGTGAGCCAGGCTTAGGCTGGGAGAAAATCCAGGGGTGACTTGGAGCTGTGGATGGAGCCTTGTTTTGGGAGAAAAAATAGAGGCAGCTATGGTGACCCTCAGGGTCATGGTTCTTCAGAGAGCTATGGAGCTTGCCATTTTGCATTAGTCAGTCTTTTTTTTTTTTTTTTTTTTTTTTTTTTTTTGCTGCAAAAAAACCAAATCCAGGCTGGGCATGGTGGCTCATGCCTGTAATCTCAGCACTTTGGGAGGCCGAGGTGGGCAGATCACCTGAGGTCAGGAGTTCGAGATCAGCCTGGCCAACATGGTGAAACCCCGTCTCTACTAAAAATACAAATATTAGCCAGGTGTGGTGGCATGTGCCTATAATCCCAGCTACTCGGGAGGCTGAGGCAGGAGAATCACTTGAACCCAGGAGGAAGAGGCTGCCATGAGCCGAGATCACTCCATTGCACTCCAGGCAGGTGTCAGAGCGTGACTCCATCTCAAAAAAAAAAAAGAAACAAAGAAAGAGAAACAGAAATCCACGTGACCTGGCTATAGCAAAATAAGGCAGGAATGAGGCTGAGCCCGGGGAGGGCCTGATCCAGTAGTGGGGGCTCACAGGGGCCCCTCTTCCTCTGTCTGGTGCCCATGGTCACTCATTTCCACCTGAGCATGCAAGCTTCCCCACTCCCTGAGAACCAGGGTGCTGTGGGTGTCCGTGCACGTGGCACTCCAGGAATCCCAAACACATAAACTTTGCTCCGGCATCCGGAAGACACTGATTGGTTCTCTCTGAATCTCGAGATCGAGACCCCCATTGGCCCAGGTCTGGGCAGTTGTCCATGCTTGAGCTAACTCAGCTGTGTTTCACAGCCAGGGTTATGTGTAAATGCAGCTGGGGGAGGTGAAATTGCAGAGAACGTGAGTTGGGTTGTGCTAAGCAGACTTGAACGTGTATTTCCTACAATTTCACACAGGGATTTTGCTACCACAATTTTTTTTTTTTTTTAACTATCTTGGGAATGTTTTCCCCACTTGTCTTTTTTTTTTTTTTTTTTTTTTAACATCTGAGAAACCAAGCTAATCCCCACCTGTCTTAAAGAAAAACGGGGATGGCTTGTGTCTGTTGCTTTTGCTTTTCAAAATTTCTTAGTACTTATTTCATCATTTTCACAGAAGAACCTAGTGATGAAAAAAAGTTGTCATTGTTTTTTTTCCAGAGACAGGGTCTCGCTCGGTTGCCCAGGCTGGGGTGTAGTGGCACAGTCATGGCTCCCTGCGGCCTCAGTGCCCCCAGGTGGAGTCTCACTATGTGAGACTGGGTTTAAGCCTGGGTTTAAGCCATCCTCCTGCCTTGTCCTTCCAAAGTGCTGGGATTTATAGGCGTGAGCTGCTGCACCCTGCCAGGAGTGAAATATTAACCCTATTTCTGGATGACTGGACTGAGACATAGTTCATTTTCCAAGCTTTCATTAGGAATTGAGTTCTCGGCCACCTGGAACGTTTTCCCTGGGCATTTGTGGGTATTTATTCCAGAGGCTACACTGCTGTTGGTGGGTTTGTGGATTAGGAACAACCCAGCTGGAACCAGGTCTCCTGGGGCGACAAGGCCCTGCTCTGCTCAGCATCCTGTAGCCGGGCTGGATTCTCAACTCTTTGTAATTGATTCTTAGTTATCTTTCTCTGCTACCCTCTTTTTCTTTTTCTTTTCTCTTCTTTTCTTTTCTTGCCTTCTTTTTTTGAGACAGAGTCTTGCTGTGTCACCCAGGATAGAGTGCAGTGGTGTGATCTTGGCTCACTGCAACCTTTGCTTTCTGGGTTCAAGCAATTCTCCTGTCTCAGCCTTCTGAGTAGCTGGGATTACAGGTGCCCGCCACCATGCCCTGCAAATTTTTTGTGATTTTAGTAGAGATGGGGCTTCGCCATCTTGGCCAGGCTGGTCTCGAACTCCTGACCTCACGTGATCTGCCCACCTCAGCCTCCCAAAGTGCTGGGATTACAGGTGAGAGCCACCACACCCAGCCTGCTACCCTCATTTCTAAAGTGGAGATAAATAATAGCACCCACTACAGAGTTTTGCTCTAAGGGTGAAATGAGTTGAATACATGTAAATCAATCAACCCAGTGTTTGACATAGAGTAAGCACTTGGTAAATGTTAGCTAATATGACCATGATGATCAATAATGATCAAGGTGAAATGCTATTCCAATGGATGCTTCTCAGTAATTTAACTTTGAAGAGTGTTGTTATACCAATCACTGTGGAATCGAGATGCTCTGCTTTCTTTAGCAGGTTTGGATTGGGGAGCTTTCGAATCTGGGAAGCTTTGTGCCAGCTCCTAGGATATTTGCCTCAGTTTAGGATTGGGTGAGCTGCTTCAAGTAGACAGTAGGGTTTGGTGTGACTGTCATGAGCTGATTAGTCAGACTTCCCTTAAAGATGGTTCTCAAACTTTAATGTTTCTCAGAATTATTTGGGTAACTTGATAACAAAGATGCCTTTTTTAAAAAAAATTATTTATTTTACTTTAGGTGCATACTATATCTGGCATTTCCCCATGTTATTCCTCCCCACCCCCTGCTGTCTCTCCCCAACCCCCCGCCAACAACTGTCCCCAGTGTGTGATGCTCGTCTCCCTAAGTCCACGTGTTCTCATTGTTCAACACCCACCTATGAGTGAGAACATGCGGTGTTTGGCTTTCTGTTCTTGTGTCAGTTTGCTTAGAATGATGGTTTTCAGATTCATCCAAGTCCCTACAAAGGACACGAACTCATCGTTTTTCGTGGCTGCGTTGTATTCCATGGTGTGTATGTACCACATTTTCTTTGTCCAGTCTATCACTGATGGGCATTTGGGTTGGTTCCAGGTCTTTGCTATTGTACGCAGGGCTTCAATGAACATACGTGTGCATGTGTCTTTATAATAGAACAATTTATAGTTTTTGGGTATATACCCAGTAATGGGATTCCTGGGTCAAATGGAATTTCTATTTCCAGATCTTTGAGAAACCCCCACACTGTCTTCCACGATAGTTGAACTAATTTACACTCCCATCAGCTGCGTAAGAGTGTTCCTATTTCTCCACATCCTCTCCAGCATCTGTTGTCTCCAGATTTTTTAATGATCACCATTCTAACTGGTGTGAGATCATACCTCAGTGTGGTTTTGATTTGCATTTCTCTAATGACCAGTGATGATGAGCATTTTTTCATATGTTTGTTGACCTCATATATGTCTTCTTTTGTAAAGTGTCTGTTCATATTCTTTGCCCAGTTTTGAATGGGGTTGTTTGATTTTTTCTTGTATATCTGTTTTAGTTCTTTGTAGATTCTGGATATTAGCCCTTTGTCAGATGGGTAGATTGCAAAATTTTTATCCCATTCTGTTGGTTGCCGATTTACTCTAATGATGATTTCTTTTGCTGTACAGAAGTTCTGGAGTTTAATTAGATCCCCTTTGTCTATCTTGGCTTTTATTGCCATTGTTTTTGGTGTTTTAGTCATGAAGTTCTTGCCTATGTGTATGTCCTGGATGGTTTTGCCTACGTTTTCTTCTAGTGTTTTTATGGTGTTAGGTTTTATGTTTAAATCTTTAATCCGTCTGGAGTTAATTTTAGTGTAAGATGACAGGTAGGGGTCCAGTTTCTGCTTTCTGCACATTGCTAGCCAGTTTTTCCAACACCATTTATTAAACATGGAGTTCTTTCCCTATTGCTTGTTTTTGCTGGGTTTATCAAAGCTCATATGGTTGTAGAGGTGTGGTGTTTCTTCTGGGGTCTCTGTTCTGTTCCATTGTCTGTCTCTGTTTTGGTACCAGTACCATGCTGTTTTGATTACTGTATCCTTGTAGTACAGTTTGAAGTCTGGCAGTGTGATCTCTCTGGCTTTGTTCTTTTTGCTTAGGATTGTCTTAGCTATGCACGGTCTTTCATGATTCCATATGAAGTTTAAAGTGGTTTTTTTCCAGTTCTTTGAAGAAGGTTATTGGTAGCTTGATAGGGATAGCACTGAATCTATAGATTACTTTGGGCAGTATGGACATTTTCTCAATATTGATTCTTCCTAACCATGAGCATGGAATATTTCTCCATCTGCTTGTGTCCTCTCTTATTTCATTGAGCAGTGGTTTGTAGTTCTCCTTTAAGAGGTCCTTTACATCCTTTGCTAGTTGTATTCCTAGGTATTTTATTCTCTTTGTAGCAATTGTGAATGGAGTTCACTCTTGATTTGGCTCTCTGTTTGTCTATTATTGGTGTATAGGAATGCTTGTGATTTCTGCACACTGATTTTGTATCCTGAGAGTTTGCTGAAGTTACTTATCAATTAGAGAAGCTTTTGGGCTGAGACGATGGGGTCTTCTAGATATACAATCATGTCATCTGCAAATAGAGACAGTCTGACTTCCTCCTTTCCTAACTGAATACCCTTTATTCCTTTTTCTTGCCTGATCACTCTGGCTGGAACTTCCAATACTATGTTGAATAGGAGTGGGAAGAGAGGGCATCCTTGTCTAGTGCCTGATTTCAAAGGGAATTCTTCCAGCTTTTGCCCATTCATTATGATATTGGCTATAGGTTTGTCATA